AGAGACTGTCTTTTCTCCATCATATGCTCTTGCCTCCTTTATCAAATATTAGCTGAATATAATGTCTTGGGTCAATTTCTGGATTCTCTGTTCTGTTCCATTGATCTATATGCCTGTTCTTGTGTTGGTACCAGACTGTTTAGATTACAGTGGCTTTGTAGTGTAACCTGATATTCAATATTGTGATCCCTCCAACTTTGTTCTTCTTTCTCAAGATTGCTGAGGCTATTTATGGTCTTTTTTTGGTTTCATACACATTTTTGGAGTATTTGTTCTAGATTTATGAAATATGCTATTGGTATTTAAATAGAGATTGCATTGAATCTATAGGTTGCATTGGATAGTATGGACATTTTAATTATGTTAATTCTTCCATTCCATGAACATGGTTTATGCTTCCACTTGTTTGTATCTTCCTTCATCTCTTTTTTTCAATGTCCTGTAGTTTTCCGAGTACAGATCTTTTATCTCCTTGGTTAAGTTTATTCTTAAATATCTTAGTTTTTTTGTTGCAGTGGTAAATGGGATTGTTTTTCTAGTTTCTCTTTCTGGGAGTTCATTATTGGTGTATAAAAATGCCATCAATTTATAGATGTTAGGTGTTGGGGTTTTCTACATACAGATCATGTCTTCTATGAATAAAGACAGTTTTACTGCTTACTTTCCAATCTTGATGCCATTAATTTTTTCCCCCTGTATTTTACTGTCTATAACCTTCCAGTTAATGTTGAATACAAGTGAGAAGAAGGGACATCTTTGCCTGATTCTTGTTCTTTCAGGGGAGTCTGTTCAGTCTTTTACCATTAAATATGATGTTAGCTGTTGGTTTTCATGTCTGCTGTATATCGGGTTGAGGAAATTGCCTTGGATTTCTGTTTTGCTGAGAGGTTTTCTCATGAGAGGGTGGTAGTTTTTGTGAAGTACTTTTTCTATGACTTTTAAGGTTAACTTTGAGTTTTTCTCCCTTTACTAATATGGTATGTAACAATAATTTACTTTGAATGTCAAATCAATTTTAATTCATGTTCATATGTATAACTCTGGTCACCACTTGGTCATAATGTGCTATCCATTTTATATGTTGCTTGATTCTGTTTGTTAATATTTTTTGAGGATTTTTGTGTCAATATCATGAGAGATAGTCTGTAATTGTGTTTGCGTGTGTGTGTGTGTGTATGTATGTGTGTGAGAAAAGGAAGGATAGGGAATGAAAAACTGCAAAAGGGCATGAAAAAACTTTGTGGGGAGATGGTAATGTTTGGTATGGATATATGGTTATATATCTTTCTCAAAAGTCTTAAAATGTTTTATGTCACAATGATGACAAAATATTAGTGTAAATTCTTTTATAAATATTGTGTTAAAAATTAGTCCTATGTCTTGATTTAAGATAAACTCCCATTTCTCTTATTCTCATTAAATGTTCTAGAGCATCTTACACCCTTTTTTCCCCTCCTGGTATTTCACATTACTCGCCTATAGGTAGGATCCTAAATGTCATGATTAAATGGAAGTTTAATAAGTCCACCAATAATTCATTCTTGAAAACTTAGCTGCTAAGTGAAAAGTTATGAAAAATATTTTTTATAATTTTAATGAAAATAGTGATATTTTTATCTCAATCTAAAATCACAATTTTCACAGATAGAAAAATAGATATTAAAAAATTTTATAAGAAATGAATATAGACTCCTGGTCAAGATGATGGCGTAGATGAACGTGGTACTTGCCTTTTCCCACAACCACATCAACATCATGACTAAACTACAGAACATTACTCAGAACTGCCTGGATCTGGCTGAATGGAAGTTCTATAACTATGAAGTTAAAGAAGCCACATCAAGACCAGTGTGAGGGTGAAGACGGTAAACGCTGGTCCCACACTCACGTATGGTGGATACAAATTGGGAAGGATATCTTGGCTGTAGAGGTCCAGCCTGGGGAGTAAAGGGTCCCAGCCCCACACCAGGTCTCTTAGCCCAGAGTTCTAGTGCCAGGAAGAGAAATCTCCATAACTCCTGGCTGTAAAAACCAGCGGGGATTGAGGCTGAAGAAGACAGAGGGCTTCAGGAGTCCCAGGCAGTTCCTCGCACAGGGCCTGTGAATGGCCTTACTTGGGCTCCACTCCCTCTGGGCTCCAGCACTGGGCAGCAGCTGGAAAGGTACCAGAGACATATGGGGAGGAACCGAATTGTTTGGCATCGGGCCAGAGCTAGAGGGTGCCGCTTTTTCCCAGACAGAAGTGCTGGCAGAGGCCATTGTTCCTTTGATGAGCCTTTCCTGCCACCGAGATGATAGGCAGGCACTGTATCTGGGGCTCCAGCAACCTGGCTCACACTGTTTGCCCTGCTCTGGTGACTTCCTGAGGCCCTACTCCAACCAACTCTCAGGCCCACCCAAGCTGTTTCCAGTGGCTTTTCCATATGAATGGCCTGTCTTGGCTCATGCTTCAGATTATCCTAAAGTCTTTCAAACAAACAGCATCTGGCCTCAGCATGTCCTATACCTCTCCCTAAGTGGCCCTCAAGCCAGGCATTAGCAGCAGCAGCCTTTGTTCACAGCTTGGCCTCTTCTGGGCACCTCCAAGCCCAGCACAAGGAGCAGCCATCTGCAGATCGCTTTGTAGCTTATGCCTGGTGGCCCCAGGCAGAACACAGTCAGTGGCTGACCATAGCCTGCACCTCCTGGGAAGCTCTAGAACCAGCGCACCCAGTGCACAGCTTCAGGCCACATCAAAGCACTACTACCGAGCCACCTCCAGAAGCAACGCACTCAAAGGACAGACTCACCAGAGCCCTGTTGAAGTAAGTCCTGTGCTGTGGGTTGGGGCCCTGCACTGCTGATCCTCCACATTGGTTGGAGGTCGGTGGTCACAGCCAGTCCTTGCAGCTGATCAGCCTGGGGGTAAATCCCTCCCATTGACGGACCAACAGCAATCAAGGCTCAACTACATGAGGAGAGTGTACACAGCCCACATGGAGAAGGGGTGCACATCGAGAGCTCAGTTAGGTGATCAGGGAGGTCTTGCCACTGGACCCTACAGAACACCTAGTACATTAGGACTCTCTACCAAGCCTGGGAGAGTAGCAGCTCTAATACATAGAAACAAACACAAGGAAGCTGCCAAAATGAGACAAAGAAACATGTCCCAAATGTAATAACAAAACAAAACTCCAGAAAAAGAACCAAACAAAATGGAGGCAGGGAATGTACTAGATGCAGAGTTCAAAACACTGGTTATAAGGATGCTCAAGGAATGTAGTGAGAACTTCAACAGCATAAAAAAGACTGTCAGAAATGAAGGATGCACCAATGGAAATGAAGAATAATTTACAGGGAATCAACAGTAAACTAGATGAAGCTGAGAATTAAATCAGCAAGTTTGATATAAGGAAGCAAAATATACCCAATTAGAATAACAAAAAGAAAAAAGAAGACCAAGAAATGACGATAGTATAAGGAGCCTCTGGGACAATTTCAAGCATACCAACACTGGCATCATGGGGGTGCTGGAAGAAGACAGAAGAAATTGGAAACCTATTTGAAACAATGACAGAAAACTTCCTCTACCTGATGAAGGAAACAGACAAGTTTCCTTCATACAAGTCCAGGAAGCACAGAGAGTCCCAAACAAGATGAACCCAAAGAGATCCACACCAGGACACATCATGATCAAAATGCAAAAGGTTAAAGACAAAAAGAGAATCTTAAAAGGAGCAAGAGAAAAGTAGTTAGTTACCTACAAGGGAGTTCCCATAAAACTGTCAGCTGATTTCTCAACTTTGCAGGCCAGAAGGGTTTGGCAAGAAATATTCAAAATGATGAAAAGCAAGATCTACAACCAAGATTACTCTGCTTAGCAAAGCTATTATTTAGAATCTAAGGACAGATAAAGAGCTTCCCAGACAAGAAAAAGCTAAAGGAGTTCACCAACAAGCCAGTAGTATATGAAATGGTAAAGGATCTTCTCTAAGAAGAGAATAAAAGATAAAAAATGGGAACAATGAAATGGCAATAAATACATATCTATCAGTAACTCAATCTAAAAAAAAACACAAAGAAACAAAGTAAATAAATGAACAAGCAAAACAGAAACAGACTCATAGATGCAGAGAACATTTTGATGGTTGCCAGATGGGAAGGGTGTTGGGAGTTGGGTGAAAAAGGTGAAGGGGTTAACAATACAAATTGGTTGTTACAGAATAGTCATGGGGGTGTAAAGTACAGTATAGAGAATATAGTCAATAATATTCTAATAACTGTGGTGTGAGATGGGTACAAGATTTATTGGGATGATCACTTAGTAAGTTATGTAATGTCTAATCACTGGGGTATACCCCTGAAACTAATATAATGTGTATCAACTGTAATTGAAAAATTAAAGAAATGAGTGTAAAAGTAAATAACACTTAGTTTGATCACAGAGTGTAATGTGATTATTTACTGTCCTCACTGGAGGAGGAGGCTATGTCTTGAGCATGTAGATTGGTGTCAGGAAGATGAGAGGTATTCACTGTGAGATGCGGCCTTCCTTCTACACCATTTTCTATCTCACTCTGTGGGGAGGCACATGGTTATCTTGCACTTAAACTGAACTTAAATTATAACTCAGAGAACCACCTTGGGACTAAACAAGGGCTACAAACATCTCCCTAAAACACATGAGGGTTCAGCATCTCTGAGGAAACACCGCCCTTGGCCCCCTCACTTGGTGTATGCGTGCAAAAACATTTGGCTTCTTCCCAAAATGGTGAGTGGAGAACATTGGTGAGTATGTCTCAGTCCGAGATTCTAATGCCCAAAGCAACTTTTTGTAGCAATCTATTTTGAGGGGTTTTGGAGGACCTAAAAAATAACTCATTTGAGAAGTGGTATAAATTCAAGAGTGTCCCAAGCCAAAAGTCCTTGAACTGTCAATGTGTGAGGTAGGTCTGTGTTAGTGGTGCTTGACTGGGGTATGCTGCTTTGATTCTCTGCATAATAACTCTCCTGTCTCACAGACACCTCCTCTGGTTCGGAAGACGAAGGCTCCGTGCAGGGTGACTCCCAGGGGACACCCACCTCCAGCCAGGGCAGCATCAACATGGAGCACTGGATCAGTCAGGCCATCCATGGCTCCACCACCTCCACAACCTCTTCCTCATCCACCCAAAGTGGGGGCAGCGGTGCCGCCCACAGGCTGGCAGACGTCATGGCCCAGACGCACATAGGTGAGTGCCTGTCACTGGGTGATTCTCATTGCTGTATCTCAGTGGCCCAGAGTAGCCTAGTCCCTATTTAGAAGTTCGTCTGTCTGGGTATCATGGCCTTGGAATCCACCCGAGATTCTGCAGAATCTTACTTCAGCTCCTGGCCTGCTTTGTGCTTTGTTGTTTGTTTGTTTTTTAAATGCTCACCTGAGGATATTTTTTATTGATTTTTTTAGAGAAAGTGGAAAGGAAGGGTTGGGAAGAGGGGGGAGAGAGTGAGAGAGGGAGGGAGAGAGAGAGAGAGGAACATCAATGTGAGAGAGACACATTGATTGGTTGCCTCCTGCATGTGCCCCAACTGGGGCCGGGGATGGAACCTGCAACCCAGCTACGTGCCCTTGACTGGGAATCGAACCCGAGCCTCTTTGGTGCATGAGCTGATGCTCTAACTATCAAGCAACACTGGCCAGGCTGTGCTTTGGTTTTACTGTTTTGTGAAACCTTGGTTTATTATTTCTCACCGTCCTGGATGTCTCCTGCAGCTAGGATCCAGGAGCGCGCTGCCCCTGAAGGAACGCACTTGTTCATGAGGGAAATCGCAGCCGTGTCTCTTTACGTGTTTTCTCCTCATTTATGCTAAAGTTGGCTCCCAAATGAACTAACAGTGCTAATAAACAGGCAGGGAGTTTTAAAGTGTGCTTGCTGTGGCTGTGGAAATCATTTAAGGAATCCTAGGGCTTTAATCACTAGGGTTTTCTGCTATATGTATTTAGATTTCTCTGGTGGTTCTTGTCCTTTTGTAGGTAGCTTCTATGATGAGTGAGAGCCTCTTTATTGGAAAGAGCACAGAGTTAGAAAGCATTGCCTCAGCTGTTGGGAAGTCATGTGAAAAAGGACATTAAATAAGAATTATTAGAAGAAAAGAGAGCGATTATATGAGCCGTGTGGCTGTTTCAAACATCGGTGAGCGAGGTACACGATTTTCGGCCCCCACTCTCGCCGGTCACTCATTTGCTAGGGACATGAGTTTTTGTCTGGTGTAGAAGGGGTGAGTTGGATGTCCAGATCTGTTCTGATCAATTTTCAGCTGTGGATTAAGGTTTTTAAACATTTCAGTGGTATTAGAAGTGAGACCACGTGCCTACGGACAGGACTCAGACGGCCATCAGGAGCGGGGCCTGGCCGCTCACCGACGGCCGTGGGCCTCTTCAGACAGCAGCCACTTCTCCCTGGCTGAGTGTTGTCGTGGGAAAAAAAGAACCGTCCTATTTCTCTTTTTTCCTCAAAACAGTTCTTTCCTTTGTCCCTCCCAGAGATGTTGCGAGTGAAAAAGAGAAATAGGGACGTTCTTCCAAATTTTTTAAAGTAACCCTGAAATGCAAAGTGGCGTTATTACATTTCCGTGTGAGATGTTTGCAGTAACATGGACACGGGTTCCCCTGTGCACCTCTGTTTGAAATCATAGTAACTTATTAAATGGAAATGTGTGACCACTGAATATTTTTAGATAATACAATGTCTTCCTGTGTGTTTTGGAACCTGAGATCGTGGCCGAGTCCTGCCCTTGTGCTTCCTCCGGCACCTGCCCAGGGGCAGGCATGGAATTCCCTCACCTCAGCTTGACTCCAGTCCTACAAAGTCTGTGTCCTGACCCAGTTCCCCCCTAAGGAAGTGTCAGAATCTCACCAAGAGAAACACATAATTTCGAGCAAATTAATCACTGCCTTTGGTGTTCCCTTTGTGAATGTGCATGTGGAGTGCTGGAGGAAATGGGAGCGTGGAGAATGAAATTTACCCAGACTATAAAAGGGGGATGATTCATGTGCACAGAGCTCAGTGTAACCTAAATATAGCTTTTGCGTATGTGACATTTAAGTAATTTTTATATTGGCACAAAGATAAGTTCCTAGAATATCTGAGACTTTTCTGTAAATAAGAAAAACATTTTAGAAAGAAAGCAGTGGCAAAATAATAAAATGAGAATTAAAATCCTTTATTCCTCTGGCAAAGCGAAAGAAGTAAAAACCCAGAGAACTGGCAACATCTGAAGCCTACAAGGAAGAAAATTGTGTGTGTTTTCAGGAATTTAAGGTCAAATAAACCACCACCTTGTACTTCCAACCTCTCCTGGAGAGGGGCTTGGATAATGTCTACACCTCTGCCTCCCAGTAGGAGGAAAACAGACGGTTAGGAAGTGTCTGTCTCCATATCTTTCTCCTTTTTTTTTTGCAGTATTTTTTTTTGGGAGAAGACTCCCTCTTTCCAAGGTTCACCCTTTCACCTTCATTCTGGATCCCAGCTCCTCCCAGATCTGCTAGCTCAGTGCTACGTTCTTTTGCATCTTAGCTCACCCATGGGTGAGCCCTAGCTCCGGATGTTGCTGACCAATTGCCTCCTCTCTCTAGCCTGCCGCACACTAGGTTCTCCTTCCCAACTCTGGTTCTTTCCTCCCCTCCAGGTGGTTCCTCTCCCACCCTGTGTCTCTACATTATTATTATTATTTGTTGTTGTTATTGTTGTATGTGCCCCTAGCGGGAACCAAACCCAGAACTCTCTGGTCCACAGGCTGATGCTCAACTGCTGGGCCAAACTGGCCAGGGCAACACTCTTGACGATTTCATCCTCTCCCAGTTTTCAAGACCATCTGCTCCTCCCTAACTCACACACCTGCATTTTCCTGCACCAGTCAGCTTTTCAAAGTGCCTCTGGTCACTGCCCGTTGGCCCCACGCTGTCCCCTGAGGTCAGCGCATCTGTTGAGGCTGTACTCCCAGGGGCCGCCTCAGGACCGCAGCTGTCCTTGGCCCCTCCTCCCCCCATACCGTCCATACCATCTGTGTCCACATTCTGGGCGCTTGGCTACACATGGCCTTGCAAGCCTTATGTCTCGCCCCTACTGCCCCAGGCCCCTGGGTCCAGGTGCCTGCTCTCCCATCTGACCCCGGCAGCCCCTCTGCCCCATGTCCCTCCTTGCACACTGTCTGGCATTTCACAGCCCTGTTGGTGTGATTGTGGCACAGGTGTGATCCTGTCTCTTTTTCCAGAAAGTGCTTTGGGGATTTTTCACCTCTCAAAACTGATTTTGTTTATTTGGACTTTACATTTAAAATCAAAGTAATGACTTTTGGACCCACCAGTATCCTAACCCTTCACCCACTGTGCACCCCATTTGGGTGAATGTTTCACTGACCTGCCTACACTTTGGTGTACGTGAGAAATCCATCGATTTAGCTCTTTTCCTAATGTTTAAATGCGTTTAACTCAGAAAGTGGTAACACAGCCATTTATACTTTCTGTATCTGAGTGTCACAGATTCTCTCTTGAGAAGAAGAGGTTCCCCCACAAGGAGAGGAACCACAGAGGAAGCCTTCAGGTGTGGGAGCAGGGCCTAATACATCACTGCAGGATGTGAGGTGCATTGTCACTGAGCTCCCTTAGCCACAATGAGGAGCAGCTTTCTCGTTTTGCAGACCGAAGACTGAGGCTTAGTCAGTCGGCGGGATGCCCAGGGCAGCCAGCCGAGGAGTCAGACTCCCATCTGCTGGGTGGCGTAGCCTGGTGATACTCTGCAGTCTTGTTCTCTCTTCAGCTTCTTTGGTTGTTACAAATGGAAATGGAACCTTCTCAGATAAAATGCAATGAAATTTTGCATAAACATTAAATATTTCAGTTTCCCCGTCACAACCCAGCTGTGGGAGCCTGTTATAAATTTGAGTTGATGGACAAAGAACAGGAAGCTGTTGTCTGAAGTTGAAGATTCCTATTTTGACATTAGAACATTCTACAATTCCTACAATTCTAAAATGTGCCTACCAGTTGCTTTCACATCTCTGTGGGGTTTTCATGGCATGAATGTGGGAGGGAGGCGGTTGCAGGTGTGAGACTGCATAATCCCGAACTCAACCCTGACTCGCAGGACACCGCCGAAAGGCCGCGTCAACATAGAACCTTTTCGTTTATTGATTGTAGAGAGAGAGAGAGATCAATTTGTTGTTACATATTTATGCATTCATTGGTTGATTCTTGTATATGCCCTGACTGGCGATCAAACCCACAACCTTGGCGTATATGACTGACACTCTAACCAACTGAGGTGCCTGACCAAGGACTCTAAGTCCTTTCCTAACCATCTCCAGGTTTAGTCTGTGGGTGATTTGTCTGCACATTTGAATAGCAGCTGTGAATCACCATTGTCAGTATCATACTCACATACTCTCACACACACACACACACACACACACACACACACATTCATGTGCACACACATACACATGCTCAGAAGCTCACACACGCACACACATCACACATGCATACACATGCTCAGGAGCTAATACTCATACACATCACACACATTCACATACACACCCACACACACTCATACATCACATGCACATCCTCATAAGCTCACACACACAGGAAAAATTAAGGTAAAGTATATTGTTCTGTCCCTGAGTGGTTATTAAAAGAATACGAAGGTAAATCCTCACATGATACATTGTTACCTGTCACTTTTGGTCCAGACACCAGTTAGGGCTTCCCCGTGAAGTGCCTTCCATGAGACCCAGTGAAAGTGGTCTCTACTGGTGAAACCGAAGAGGAAAGTCTTCTCTTCCCACTGGTTGCACATGGCAGATGGGTCCGTGCAGTGAGTCCCCAGCAGCCAGGCCAATGCTCGACTCGCTCAGTGGCCAGCTGGCTCTTCCCCACGTTGTCTGGATGTTCCTTTTACCATGTGTTGTCTTTTGTCCAGATCACGGCTGGTGGTTAAACTTCGTTCACCTTCATATTTTCATCCAGGGACCTGGTTTTCCACCACCATATGGAGGGTGTGGTCATGTCATCTTAGGAAGCGGGGGCAGCTGGGCAGGCCAGGTGGTCTGAGGGCCTGGATTGCAGGTCCCTTCTCAGTGACAACAGTGGTCGAGTAGACAGGAAACCTGGGTTGGGGCATTCTTGGTGTACAGAAACTTGGGTTCCTCTGACATGTGGCTTTTTACATATGAAAACCAGATTCCCTACTTTTCTTGTCTTTATTTGGGCACTGAAGTTATTTGGGGACTGAAAAATAATTAACATGGCTTAAAAGTGGCATTTATTGCCATGACCCCTGCAGATTCTAGTTCATACAGTTAAAATTAAAGATCACTTCTTTCCAGTGTGTGTTAGAACTGGTGGCATTTGATGTAGTTGTAAAGTGTTCTTTAATTCATGCATTCTTTGAACTGTTCCTCCAGCATTTGCTGAGCAGACAGTGTGGCTGGGGGTAGGTAACTTCAGCCTCTGAGTAGGACACCGGGAGCCCCTGAGGTGGACGCCTGCCTGAGCAGGTGACTAGGAGGACTTGAGGAAGCAGGGATTTCCAAGACGGGGTTCAGCAGGGAGACAAGCCAGGACCCTGAAATGGTCATGGCCAGAAACAGCTGTGCAAGTGGGGTGGCTTGCTGGCAAGAGTAACAGCCTCGAGCCCTGTGTGGGGTGGGGTGGGTGGCCAAGGTCTGCGGTGGACCCTGGCACTGATGGCACCAAAGCAACGTGCAGATACTGCCATGAAAGGTGGCGGAATTGCGCTCCCCTCCGGCCTTCCTCTTGTGCCCATCCCGAGTTCCTGATTCACAGGGACCCATGTCAGCTGCTGGCAACAAACTCCAAGCAGGGGCAGATGAAGCTGAACCCACCCTGTGGTGGGCAGCTGTGAAGGTGCCCAGGTCGCTCTCGGGGCCATTCATGATGGAGGTGACACCTAACAGGTGGCAGGAGGATGACTGCCATTTTCCTCTTGGTTTAAAGTTTGGGGTAAGGAACAGTGGGCCCTCTTGCTCAAAAGACTCCGCCCTGCTCTGCTGGGGGTTCTCAATCCACAAAATGCTGCCAACACAGGTGGGCTCCATTGGCCTCATGCCTGGAGCTAGTGAGCATCTTAGACCTTTGAGCCTGCACCTTCCACCTAACTCCACTTTTCCTTACCCACCCACAAGTGTTTCCTGAGCATCTGTTATATACAAGGTTTTTTACTGCCCCAAAGACAGAGATCCTAGTTAAACACTCAAAGTCCTGTTCTTTATCAAAATAAAACAGGGTACATTGTGTCACTTCAACGTCAGCATGTCCGCTAGCTCCCTAACAAGAGCAGCACATGCGAGGAGTTCAAAGGGAGTGGGAAGGGAGGGACATCTAAATAAATTTGGAAAGCACTTTGAAGTCACCCACCTGTCACTGTTCCTACTTTATAATCACCAGATGTGTTTGAACCGTTATTTTTCTCAAATTCAAAGTGGACACACAACAGTATTCCTGCTACCCAACACAAAGACGGATTGGCCATCTGTCACCGCTGACGAGGCGACAGCATCACTTAAACACCAGTGAATCTGGATAAAATCTCAATGCAGTGAACCCACGTTACAGGTGCTTTTGTTTTAGGTGCTAATTTGAAAGTCTGCTCGGCATACGTCAGCATCTATTGTATTTGCATCTGAAATATGAGGCCCCGGTGAGTGTACTTCTTGGCTGTGGAGAATTAGATAACTTTGCAACGTGCAATGAGGTTGATCTGGTGAAAGTGCAGGTGGGGTGATGAGAGGGTGAGCAGACTCGGAGTCACTGCAGAGGTGATCTGAATGATCCTCTCCTCTCCCTCTCCTACTTCCCCTCAGGGATCCACCTGCTTGTTAAAATTACTTGTAACCCAAACCAGGACACTCAGCCTTCTCTTGATCATGCATGAAGTTTTTCAGGGCAACACAGATGTGAGTCCCTGACGCCCATGTTCCCAGCTGAGGGCGACGTTCTGCCCTCTTGTTCCAGCTCAGACTGGGAACAGTGTTCTGTACTGGGAAGCCGCTGTCTGGGTTTCCCTCTTGTGCTTTTTGTTGGTGATTTCCCTGTTCATACGGCCCCGCCCCCATGTATAGTGCTGAGGAGGGGCTACCTGAAGGAGGAGGCTTTCCAGTACTGGCTCCCGTCCTGCGGACAGCGCAAGGAAATCTCAGCGGGTTTCCATCCAATAAGGATTAGCGACTCAAAGTTTACAGCATGATACCCATCATTAGGACTCAGGATATAGACAATGCCGTTGACAGCCTCACTGGACGTGCTCCCCTAAATGCCTATGTAATAAATATTGGAGGCACGCTTTGTAAAGGATGTGGTTGTCTAACCACTATGCTGTCCACCTGAAACTAATACCAAAAAACATTGAATGTAAACCATAATTGAAAAATAAAATTAAATAAATACAAGAACGGTGCTGTCCCCACAGAACCACCTCAGTGCCCAGTGTCATCATCGGTGAGCCCTGCAGGAAAGACCTGCCACACAGCTCCCGGAGCCTCCACAGTGCACAGATTGTAAACACCTGCTTTCTTAAAATTCCTCACCCAAGGATGTGTTTTCATTGATTTTTTTTTTTTTGAGAGGTCGAGATCAGTGGAAGAGAGAAATATTGATTGGTTGCCACCCATATGCACCCCGACCTAGGTATGTGCCCTGACTGGGAAATGAACCCACAACCTTTTGGTGTGCAAAACAACGCTCCAACCAACTGAGCCACCCAGCCAGGGCTAAATACATGCTTTTTGAATGGCTGTTCAGTATTATTCATGCTGAAACAAACGAAATAGCTAATATTTCTTGAGTGTTCATCCTCTATCAAGAAATGTCCTTCCTTTGCCAGTTTGGAGCATCAGCAGTTAGAGCGTTGGCCCACAGACCAGAGAGTCCCGGGTTTGGTTCCCACTAAGGGCACATACCTTGGTTGCGGTTTGTCCCTGGCCCCAGTTGGGGTCATGTGGGTGGCAGCCAGTCGGTGTGTCTCTCTTACATCGATGTTTCTCTCTCTCTCTCTCTTTCCCCCTCTCTCCCTCCCACTCTATCTGAAGATAAATGCAAAAATGTCCTTGGGTGAGGATAAAAAACAAAATGTCCTAAGAACTTGACATATGTTAACTCATCTAATCTCTGATACAAAGCAGTTGCCATTATTCCCATTTGTTGGGTGAGGAGACTAAGGCACAGCGAGGTTAAGACACTTTCCAAGATCTCAAGGAATTTGAGGAGCTGGGATTCAAATCCCAGACTCTGCCTCCAAAGCTTGAGCTCTTGAACCATCACTACTAATGACAGACAAGAAAATTGCTCTTCTGAGAACAAAAACATAATTTTCAATGTCCCTTTTTCTACTGGCTGTTTAAGAACATTATTCTTTTTTTTTTTTCAATTAATTAATTTATTTTTGTTACAGATGTTTCTTTTCCCCCCAAGAACATTATTCTTAAAATGCTACAATGATTCATCAATGTGGCTCCCGTTATGACTTTATGTCTGAAGTTTTACCTACCTTTGTTTCATTGTGAGCAGTACAAATGGTTTTAAAGATCGTCTTTATCCTGACTTTGATTCAGGATTATGGTATCTTCTCTGGATGCAGTCTTTTCTGAAACCTTGTTGCTCACTTAGCCTTCCAAATAACTCTGTCATGATCATTGGAGAACTTGTTATTTGCCTCTTTACAGAAAATCACTCTGCACCTCCTGATGTAACCACGTACACCTCAGAACACTCAATACAGATGGAAAGGCCACAAGGCTCAACGACATCGCGGACGGCACCAAAGTATGGCAACGCCGAGCTCATGGAGACTGGCGATGGTATGTCTCCGGCATTGCCTTCCCTCCTTTGTAAACTCTAATTTTCACTAACTTACCTTTTAGACCATGATTGCATGTTTCTCATGTAGACAGATGGTCAACTCACTGAATCTAATGTATCGAGTTCTTTACGAACCTCCCATAGAAGGTGGCATAGTTGTAAGAAATGCAGATAATCTCCAAGTTGGCCAAGAAATAGTCTTTGTAGGAAAAAAAATGATGATGTAGGAATTTAGTCATGAGAAAAAAGGAAATTTTGTAAGATTCTGATATATTTGCTAATGAATAACTAAAGGTGGTTCAGCAGTGAACAAATTAGTGTGCAAATGTTAAGGCCATGAACGGTTACTTAGAAGGGCAGGATGAAGTTCAATGTAAACAAATACATTGACAGGTATGGGTCAATGTCATGCTTTAGAATTTGGAAGTAAGAGGGTCCTTTTTCCTCCATATTGGAAAAAATACATTAGTGATTTGATAAAATACAGTAGTAGGGGTTCTTCTTTATTCTTCATATCATTAGTCTTGGTATATTCTGATTACAGTGGCCGTTTCTGTTACCCGATCTGAAGTAGTAGACTCGAACATGAACTTCATTCATTGCTCTGCTTTCCTTAAGTCTCAGTCCTTTCCAGGGTCATGAAAGTTAAAATAGAACCCAATGTTGACATGAAATGTTAGTTTTGTGAAGACGGCCAAAGTAGCGTTAGTGAGCCATCCATCCAGCTGTGCTCATATGCTGTGATGCGGTGCGGTTCAGAGGCGAAGGGAGGCCTGGACCCCGTCTCTAATAGCAGCATGCCTCTTTGTAATGGCCAGAGCCCCAAGTCAGTGTGGTTCACGAGCTCCTGTAAGTACACTGGAAGCCACTCCAGTTTTCCATGTAATTGGTTTCCCTGGAATACTTTCAGTTTCAATGTTTGCTTTAGTTCTCTGCTCAATCCACTATTTATTGAATTGGTCATTACTGTTATTCTAGTCATTATCATTCAAATAACTGAGTTGTCTTTGATGTCCATCATCATTACCTGCTCTTTCAGGTAAGTTCATATGTTGTCCACATGACTCCATTTGAGTCACATGTTGTCCAGTCCAGAGTCTCTCAGCATGTGATTATCTCTCGTATCAGAATCACTTGGGGTATTTGTTAGGAAGCACGTTCTGGGTCACCCCCAAAACCCAACACATCAGAAACTCTGGATAGGCAGGTCCTAAGATGATTCTTATACATTCTGAACTAAGCTGGAAAACCAGTGGCCTTGTGAAATCTCATAATCATCTGAACCAAGTTAACTGAGACTATTTAATGAGAAATATTCTGTTTAGAGACTGAGAATTCTAGTGTGTGTAATTTTTTATGTTTTCAAAACTATGACATATTTAATGTCTCAATTTTGAAGGTGCCCTTAAAGTCTTTTGAGATTACCTATGAGAATGTTTCTGATTTGGTAGAAAAAGTTCCTTGAATTCTGTCATAATCATGCCAAAAGCTGAGGTCAGTATTTGTGATACCTACAATGGAGAAGGAGGACTCTGCCTCAGTCATGATTTGGGAGACCCTTTAAGCTATGGCCCTTAGACTGTGAGAGCAGTGATGTTTCCACACCCATGGTTACCAGGTGTGGATTTCCAAGCACCTCTCAGTGGGAATGAGATTTGCCTGCAGTGTTTGAACAGTTAAGGATGTCAACATCTTGGTACTCAGTAATTTGGGTCATTTATTTAAAAATTTTAAAACGTCTTTCCTTTTTCAATGATCATTTCTTTTACCTGATTTTCAAAATGATGTCACATTCATTGTTGTAAGAAATCTATTGTCGTAACATGGGGTTAATGTTTGTCAGTGCACATGGATAAATATATGCTAGTATTCTGCGTTACACAGAAATTGAATTTGGAGATTAATTGCTGTGTCTCTAGAAGGTATTGCCTGAATGTTCACTTAGGAGGGTGGAACTGAAACACTTGAGAGGGACCCAGTGGTCACCTGTGTGGACAGGGACTGCCAAGGCGCTTGTAGGACCCAGTCCCTTTGCTTTCATTAGGAGGTATGGGTGCAAAATATTCTCTTGACCCAGTGAGGCCAATCACTGGGGTCTCAGGAGAGTCAGGGACTCAGGCAGCATCTCTCTCTGCTTCTCTCAGCCCTGAGATGAGGCAGTGGGTGTGGGTGTCTTAGCCGTTTCACTGTGGTGCTTGGACTAAAGCCAGTCCCTCTGCCCCGTGGCTCTGTTTTGCAGGAGTGCCGGTAAGTAGCCGGGTATCAGCAAAAATTCAACAACTTGTCAACACTCTCAAACGACCAAAACGACCACCGTTACGGGAATTCTTTGTTGATGACTTCGAAGAATTGTTAGAAGGTAAAAGAACTCTTTTCTACCCCCATTTATTCCAACATCCCTGTGATCCCATAAACTGTAATAATATCTTTTCTACCGAGGCCATTTTACTTTTTAAGAATAATCTTGGCATTCACCAGAAGACAGGAATCTTATCTGGAGACCGTAGGTACTGCTCCTGCAGGCCCCATAAGGCATGAGAGTAGCTTCCCATGGACCAGGCCTCTTTCTAAGGACTCTGTCAGCTTCCAGAAATGCAAGGAAATCACAGAAAACCTTGCCAACAGTGACACAGTCCCTCTGAATACACTTCAGAAGAACGTGGCGAGTGTATAGCCAGTCCCATTCTGCTGCCATTCTCTGTAGGCACAGGAGTAGGAGTCTTAACCCCAGAGTGCACACGAGCCTTTTAACACCGCCACTTAAAGTCAAAACAAAGTACTTACTATATCAAACACAAACTCTGTGTGTTCTCAGCTGATTTTCTGCCCAGCAGGTGGAAATTGCCAGCCGTAAAAATAGAGAAACCTTCCAGAAGTGAGGCGAACAAATCTCAGCTTCTCGCCTATCCTAACAGTCGGGCAAACTGTCTTTTATTATAAGGCATTTATTTTTGTTTTACTCAAGAAAATATGCTCTGTGCTTATTATCTAGTAGTTGTAGCAAATTTAAATTTACGCCTCAGTACTTAAAGGCAAAATATAATTCAGCTCAAAAGTTCTGAGCTCTTTGGAGTCCAGAATTACTCGTCTATGCTGATAATTGATATATTTTTACATAGTCATTGTAATCCTAGACTCCAGGCGTGCTCGAATACGTAACTCTACTTGGCGTCAGTCTGTCGGTGCACGCAGGCCTCCTGGAGCTCCTCGCCCGACATCGCCTGGGAAATTGTAAGAATTCAGTGCCTCCGTTACATTCATGAGGAGGCTGTGTAGTAGGTCATAGCCCCGATTCCACACAAGCATGTTTTCTTTGTGCTAATAAGTTTATATCTTAAGTATAAATCTCCGAGCTTCTTTAAAATGAATAAAAACATGATTGTGCTAATACAGATGTATATTTTTAAAAAAACCTTTTGTGTCCACATGTGTTTAGTCCAACAACCAGATCCGAACCAGCCAAAGCCAGAGGGAGCACAGATGTTGGCCATGCGAGGAGAGCAGCTGGGTGTGGTTACGAATTGGCCTCCATCTCTAGAAGCTGCATTACAGCGGTGGGGGACCATCTCACCAAAGGCCCCGTGCTTGACCACAATGGACACAAACGGGAAACCTCTGTACATCCTCACTTACGGTAACCCTATAAGGCTTGTTTTCTTTCTGCTTGCTTTCACACACACCTGCCACTTCCAGGGTGGCTAATTTATATTTGTGCTGCTTTTATGTTTCTGGTCCTGAAATAAATGGAATATGAAAGGAAATATGTTCGGAAAATTGTTTTGTTTGAATACAAAAAATTATTTGTTAAATATCTTTTGAGTAAAATCCAGAAATGGATCTAAAAAATCATGATCATCACTCTAACAAGATGTTGGAATGTATGTAATATTCTTGAAAGTAATGGTTTTAGAAAGGATTGGTTGTTAAAGAATGTGTATCTAGACTCTTTGACATACATAATTCAGAAGAAACAAAATCTGTTTGCAAAGTGCTTTTTCAGAAAACAAGAGAAGTAAGCTTTTCCTTAATTCGTCATTCAGGACAATTAATGCGGTCTGTATCAGAGGGATCCCTCTCTTTGTCCCATGCCTGAGAGACCATGTAAAATTGGACTGTCAGGTTATTTGCACACTGTCTGCTCTAGCTTTGCAAAGAAACCAGCTTAATGACTAAAAGACAAAAATGGTTCATATTACATCTGTGTGCATGAGGTCAGAGTACCTTTTTTTTTTTTAACTTTGAGTTTTGTTTGCACAACATTTACTATTCTGTGCATCTCATGGCCAGAAATGGTATGGGTGGTTTAGGACAGATGTTTCATTGCCTCATTTTTATGATTTTATTGGGTAATTTCTAAGTGGATAAAGAGTATTTCACCCATGATGAAGCATAAGCTTGATTTTTTTTTTTTTAAAGAAGGTAGCTCTTGCCCTGGCCGGTTTGGTTCAGCGGTAGAGCGTCAGCCCACAGACCAATGAGTCGTGGGTTCAATTCCGACCAAGGGCACATACCTCGGTTGCGGTTCTTCCCTGGCCCTCGTCGGGGTCTTGGGGAGGCAACCAGTCAGTGTGTTCCTCTCATGTCGATGTTTCTTTCTCTTTCCCTTTCTCTCCCTCCCACTCTATCTGAAGATAAATAGAAAAATATCCTCAGGTGAGGATTAAAAAAAAAGTTAGCTCTTGGAAATTGGTTTAATCCAGTCAAAAAAAAATAGAATACTCTCTTGTGTGAGCCTCACCTCTTGCCAGATTCAGCTATGGAGCCAACTGTGTACTTGTAACTGCTGCTCCTTAGCTGGTTCTTCAGGGCTTAGCCACCCTGTACGGGAAATTCTGGGACCCACCTGTGTGCACGTGTGAGCGCAGCACTCATCTGTCTGGCCCAGCGCTAAGGCTTGAGGATCAAAGAGGAGTGAGACGTGGCTCTCAGGCTGGTGACCGATGTTGGAAGGACAGCTCGCTTCTACTGATGGAATGGAGAACAGAGTAGTGCTGACTCTCGTAAGATGAATTTGAGGCACAGACTGATGTTATCTATGAAAACGTAGAGTGCATATGTCTACACCAAGGCATCTCGACTCCTGCTTTTCAGTCATCTATATTTTGTTGTGTTTTAGTCATCTATTTGAGACATATGTTATGAGTCAGTTTTTGTTTTTACTGTGGTAAAGGAATATAAGAAAGCAATGCATTTCCAAATGTAAGATTGTAATTTATCAGGACGTAAAATGAAAGTGTCGATTACGACGATGAAAGCCGGAGCGCGGTGCTCTCTGTGTAGAAACACGAAGTAGACGAACATTAGTGATCGAATGTTGCTGGAAAGATGCCGAGAAAAGTTGATTGAGTAGAATTGTTCTCATACCAAGTAACGTGGTAAAATCAAAAGGCTAGATAGATCATTGACAGTATCTGGTTTACACTCAGCTCTAAAATCCAGCTTCCTCAAAGCCCTCGGGAACCAAAATTCTCAGCTGAGGAAAAGGATCTTTAACAGAAAATGTAGATAGCGAATGAAGGTTGTAAGCAAACTTTTAAAAGTCTTATGCTTTCCATTTACCAATATAAATAAAAAAGACTATGAAGAGAACACATGGCATTCTGTGATGTTAAATTAATACAAGGAAATCATGCTAAGCAACTAACTTCCTGCTGCCATGCCTCACTTCCGGAACTTCTCAGTCTTCCTCTCTGCCTTCTCCCTGGTCTTCGTGAGAGAGCTGCTCATTCCTTTTGCTTTGGTATAGTGTGCGGGGTCCTCCCTTTCGATTTATGACTTCACTTTTGCCCCAAATTTTGAGGGATTTAGGTGCTTGAGCTATAAAATCACTGGGCAACCCTTCTTCATCTTGTGGATTTTTTGCGTTGTTGGTGATGTACATGCTTCTCAAGTTCCCACCACAGTTCCCAGGTGAAACAGCCACTGTGCCCCACATGACCTCTGATCGGCCTTCCTTCCTTACCGCCTCCCCATCGGAGTTACACTCTCCACACAGTGCTTGCTTCTCACTCAAACTGAAGTAAAGCTAAAATGTCTGTACAATAAGATAGTGTTCACATCATCTCCACATCTGTTTTTTCCCAACATGCACATTGCCGTCTCGGATTCTCAGTATCTGTTTTCCCAGTTAAAATATCTGTTTAACTTGCCTTAAATCTGGGGGAATTTCATGTGTGATTCCCAGCTTTTAAATATGCAATACAGGCCCTGGCCGGTTTGGCTCAGCGGTTAGAGCGTCGGCCTGCGGTCCCGAGAGACCCGGGTTCGGTTCCCGCTAAGGGCATGTACCTCGGTTGCAGTTTGTCCCCGGCCCTGGTTGGGTTGTGTGGGTGGCAGCCACTCAATGTGTCCCTTTCACATCGATGTTTCTCTCTCTCTTCCTCTCTCCCCATCCCACTCTACCTGAACAAAGAACAGAAAAATGTCCTCAGGTGAGGATAAAAAAAAAAAAAAATTAAATATGCGATACAGTATTAACTGTAGTTGTCATGCTGTACATTACCTCCCTGTGACTTACTTATTTTACAGCCGGAAGTTGGCGCCTTCTGACTGCCTCCCCCCATTTCATCTACCTTCCACCGTCTCTGGCAACCACTGATCTGTTCTCTGTACCTATAAGCTTAGGATTTTTTTGGTTTTTTAGATTCCACGTATAAGTGAAATCATACACTATTTGTATATATTTCTCTCTGACTTATTTCACGTAGCATAATACCCTCCAGGTCCATTCATGTTGTTGCAAATGGCAAGATTTCATTCTTTTCAATGGCTGAGTAATACATACACCGCATTTTCTTTATCCATTCATCAATGGACATTTAGATTGTTTCCATACCTTGGCTATTGTAAATAATGCTGCAATAAACAAGGTGCATATGTCTCTTTGAGTTATGGTTTTTGTTTTCTTTGGATAAATACCCAGAGAGGAATTGCTGGATCATGTGGTAGTTCTATTTTTCACTTTTTTAAAGAAACTTCCATACTGTTTCTCATTGTAGCTGCACCAAATACATCCCTACCAACAGTGCACACGAGTTCTCTTTTATACACATTCTTGCCAGCATTTGTTATCTCTTGTCTTTTTTATAATAACCATTTTAACAGGTGTGAGGTGATAGCTCCTGGTGGGTTTTATTTGAATTTCCCTGATGTAATATTGAGTACATTTTTATGTACCTCTTGGCTATCTCTATGCGTCTTTGGAAAAATATCTATTTGGATCCTCTGCTCATTTTTAAATTAGGTCGTTTGGGATTTTTTTGCCCTAGAGTTGTATGAGTTCTTTATATATATTGGATATTAACCCATTATCAGGTAAATATCATTTGTGAATGCCCTCTCCCATTTAGTAGACTGCCTTTCATTCTGTTGATGGTCTCCTTTGCTGTGCAAAAGTTTGATGTAGTCCCACTTGTTAATTTTTGCTTTTGTGGTCAAATCTAAAGAATCATCAACAAGACTAATGATGTCAAGGAGCCAACTGCCTGTTTTCTTCTAAGGCTTTCATGATTTCAGGTCTTACCTTCTAATCATTACTCCATTCTGAGTTAATGTTTTCTGTCTGTTGTAAGGTAGTGATCCAGTTTCATTCTTTTACATGTGGCTGTCCACTTTTCCCAACACTATGAATTAAAGATTCCCCATTGTATATTCTTGGCTCCTTTGTCATAAATCGACCACATATGTGGGTTTATTTCTGGGTTCTTTTCCATTCTCTTGATCTGTGTCTTATTTTTATGTTTACTCTAGCTTTGTAAAATAGTTTGAAGACAGGGAGCATGATACCTCCATCTTTGTTCTTCTTTCTCAACATTGCTTTGGATATTCAGGGTCTTTTGTGGTTTTGTACAAATTTTTGAGTCGTTTGTTCTATATCTGTGAAAAATGCTATTGGATTGTTGATAGGGATTACATTGAATCCATAAATTGATTTGGGTAGTATAGACAATACATACAAACCTTGGAGATATTGCAGGTTTGGTTCCAAACCACTGCGATAAAGTGAAGCGCATGAATTTTTTTTTTAAACCTCACCCAAGGACATTTTCCCATTTATCTTCAGATGGAGTGGGAAGGGGGACGGGAGAGAAAGAGAAACATCGATCGGTCGTCTCCCGCGTGACCCCAACCAGGGCTGGGGATGAACCGCAACTGAGGTACATGCCCTTGACCTGAATCGAACCCGTGACTTCTTGGTCTGAAGGCCAATGCTCTAACCACTGAGCTAAATAGGCCAGGGCAGTCACATGGATTTTTTATTTTTCCAATGTAAGTTTTGTTTACACTATACTGTAGTCTACTAAGTGTGCAGCAATACTGTCTAAAAAACAATGTACATACCTTAAATATACATACTTTATTTCTAAAAATGCTAACCTTCATCTGAGCCTTCAGCGAGTCATAATCTTTTTGCTGGTGGAGGGTCTTGCCTCGATGATGATGAAAACACAGTATCTGCAAAATGCCTGTATTAATTCTTCCAGTCCATGAGCGCAAAATATCTTTCCATTTATTTGTATCTTCTTCAGTTTCTTTCTTCGATGCCTTATAGTTTTCAGTGTATAGGTCTTTCACCTCTTTAGTTAAATTTATTTCCTGGTTTTTATTCTTCTTTGATGCTATTTTAAGTGGGAT